ACATGATTGGTTATTATAACAACATGTTGAGAATGAGATATTTACTGTATATATTTGCAAGAATGTTGTAAATACTGACTTTTAACACTTACATGGTGTTAAAATCAAGCTCAGTGCCAAGAATGTAATTCCACCAAAAATGGCCCCCTTTGAGGTCAAGACCTGTGATATTTAGGGAAGCATGATTGGTTATTATAACAACATGTTGTGAATGAGATGTTTACTGTATATTTGCAAGAATGTTGTAAATACTGACTTTTCACACTTACATGGTGTTAAATCAAGCTGTGCCAAGAATGTAATTTCACCTGAAATAGGCCCCTTTGAGGTCAAGACCTGTGATTTTTAGTGCAACATGATTGGTTATTGTAGTAACATGTTGTGAATGAGATGTTTACTGTATATTTGCTAAAACCGGTTTAGCAAAACCCCCTCTGTGTCACCTGTCACTGTCAAATAACACTGGCATTCCACTGGATGTAACTGTGTGTATATACATACATTTTAACAAAAATAATGTACCTTGATGTTTTTGATATATCAGGCTACATTTAATATTGTTAGAATAAGAACATTGTATCAAGGTCTAGCAGATTATGAAAAGCAAGCAGACGTCAAGTGACACATTGTTGCAAAGTGTAATATATAAGCTTAAAGTGACAAATAGTAACAGTAGAATCTGTAGGCTAGTGGTTACAGTGATGGCCTTTCAATGTTTTCTGTTATCAGACATTCAGGTTCAAATCCTGATGGTTTTTTTTCTTTTCTTCTTTTTTTTCTTCAAAAGTTAACTTAAACATTGTAAATTGGCTGACAAAACTTGTGCACATAAAATAAAAAATTTGTAAAAATTTTTCTTAAGTTTGGTAATGTAAGTTACACTGTTCAAACAAACTTGAATTAACATCATGTAAATCTTGTTTAAGCCTGAAGACACTGACTTTTCCACTTTGTTCCCACACAATAAAGAACCTGTAGAAGGTAAGCATTGTTTCAAAATGTTAGTATGGTAATTTCTTTAAGTAAATATTTACAAACTGTCCGGAGCTGTTAATTAGTGGTGCACTGATCAAACAAATAATTAGTTTATGGATATTTTGAGGGCTGCCAGTCAATTACCGATAACCAAATCACATAATCAATTAAAGCGTTCACTCTTTCTTCTTAAAAAATATGTTTACAGAATCAATAACTATTGGTTTCAATTGTCATATTAAAACAGAGGACTGATTACCTTTGTTTTCATGTGCTCTAACAGTTGTTTTTATCTTATATCTATAATTGATCAAAAAGTGGCCTCAACGATTGATTATGCTTTTGGAGGTCAATTCCCTTCCCTATATAACTATACTATTGACATGTTTAGCATTAGAAAAATTAGAAAGCACCAATTTCTTGAACATAATGATAATTCTTTTATGATTTCAAATATTTGTTTTCAGATAAGAGAAATTTGCTTGGACTGATTTCAGGAGTGTCATTTCATGAAGATGACAACTTAAAACTTGAGGTGGAAGGTAAGCATAATATGAGTGCTAAAAAATAAACAATATGTTTTTCTTCAATTTTCTAATTTAATGTCACAGAATTTCAGAAATACTGATGTCTCAGTGGTGATTAAATCTGCATAAGCCTTCAAGGCCAGATTACTGACATTTGAAAATAAAAAAGTAATGTTACCCTTGAATAGATTTATAATATCAAAGTTTTAAAACAGAATTTTCTTTTGACATAAAGTCATCTGTTTTTCAGTTGAGAGAAAATCTGGGTATGGCAGACACCAAAACAATATGCCAGTTTCCAGCAACTCTAGTGATACACGGTTGAATGCTGCAGTTCTTGACAGTGATTCAGAAACTGATTCAGAGATTGATGACCATGTGGATGAAGAGTGAAAGTGGATGTTTTATATATCTTTGCTGTGAATGAGATGTGAATAATTACTTTTTGAAGAATTTTTAATACTGACTTTTAACACTTACTTGGTGTCAAAATCAAGCTGTGCCAAGAATGTAATTTCACCTGAAATAGGCCCCTTTGAAGTCAAGACCTGTGCTTTTTAGTGCAACATGATTGGTTATTATAACAACATGTTGAGAATGAGATGTTTACTGTATATATTTGCAAGAATGTTGTAAATACTGACTTTTAACACTTACATGGTGTTAAATCAAGCTGTGCAAAGAAAGTAATTTCACCTGAAATAGGCCCCTTTGAGGTCAAGACCTGTGATTTTTAGTGCAACATGATTGGTTATTATAACAACATGTTGAGAATGAGATATTTACTGTATATATTTGCAAGAATGTTGTAAATACTGACTTTTAACACTTACATGGTGTTAAAATCAAGCTCAGTGCCAAGAATGTAATTCCACCAAAAATGGCCCCCTTTGAGGTCAAGACCTGTGATATTTAGGGAAGCATGATTGGTTATTATAACAACATGTTGTGAATGAGATGTTTACTGTATATTTGCAAGAATGTTGTAAATACTGACTTTTCACACTTACATGGTGTTAAATCAAGCTGTGCCAAGAATGTAATTTCACCTGAAATAGGCCCCTTTGAGGTCAAGACCTGTGAGTTTTTAGTGCAACATGATTGGTTATTGTAGTAACATGTTGTGAATGAGATGTTTACTGTATATTTGCTAAAACCGGTTGTGAATACTGACTTTTAACACTTACTTGTTCAAATCAAGCTGTGCCCAAAATGTAATTAGACTAAAATGGGCCCCTGTGATTTTTCGTGGGACATGATTGGTTATCATAAGTACATGTTGTAAAATTGACCTATAGTTTGTTTGCAAAGAAAGTTGTGAATAATGAGCTTTTTGTAATCAATTAATTGGCAAGTAATTGAATTACTGTTCACAATGTATGGCAACCCTAATTGGGCCCCTTGAAGTTAAAACCTTGTGATTGATGTTGACATGTTTTCATCATGAATACCTGTTGTAAAACTGATACTATTTGTATGTAAATAAACTGATAGTTGTATATAAGTCATTATGGCACACTGATATTTCAGATGTCTTGTTATTTTTTCATGGGAACTGATAAAACCCATTTTTGGCCCCTCTGCATTGAAATTATGGCCTCAGATCATTTAAAAATTAGCTTTTTTATGCAAAGCCATCTTGTCTCTAAACAAATAACATGTGTTCAGCCAATTCTGTTTGTGGGCCAAAAACCACCCTTATCATACCTTGTCCTTTCTTGCTTTAGCTAACAACCAAAACATTGCTTTCAGGCCTTGTTCTCTTAAAGATTTAATGGCAGCATTATATTTCCGATTCTTATAGAAATTTATTCCAAGGTAAGTATAAGTGTCAGACATGTTCAAAGGTACGTCACCAAAATAATTTTTTTGAAAATTCACCCTTGCAGTTCTAGAGCCAAATATGACTACTTTATTCTTTCTGTATTTAATTTTAGCTTCCACTTTACACAATATTCTCTAAACATATTGATACTACGCTGTAACTCATCCGAACTTTCAGCAAATAAGACCATGTCATCAGCATACATCAGTACAAACATCTTTACAAATCCAAATATATCATCAATTTCTACATCATCACAGGCATTAGTCGCTAGATATGATTCAACGTCATTAATAAACAGTGAAAAAAGGAGAAGTGATAAATGTTCTCCCTGGCGTACGCCTTTACAACAGTCAAAATAGGTAGAATCATTTCCACCTGTTGACACACAAGACTTGATATTATCATACATATTATAAGTATCCTTTAAAACTTTCCCAGTAATTCCGAGTTTAATAATTTTTTGCCAAAGTCCCACACGCCAGACATTATCAAAAACCTTTTGAAAGTCTATAAAAACACTATATAACTTTTTCTTCTTAGATTTAAGTATATCAATTAGTCCATTTAAAACAAAGATATTATCTAAAGTAGAGTACCCCTTTCGGAAGCCCGCCTGTGCCTAACTTAATATATCATTATCATCAAGAAAAGTACTAAGGCGATAATTTAAAACAGAAGTTTAAAGCTTTCCAAGGCATGACAAAATAGTTATTGGCCTATAATTTTCAGGATTATTTACATCACCTTTCTGTTTGTAAATAGGCTTAATTATCCCTATCAGCCATGACTTGGGTACGGTACCACATTCCAAAACAAAGTTAAACAACTCATAATATATTTCTATAAATTCATGCTTAGTATAAATAATATGCTCATTTTCTATTCTATCTATTCCGACAGCTTTCCGTGTCTATAAATGATTAATACTCTTCAAAATTTCTTCAACAGTAATTTCCTTATCAAGCACATCATTCTCAGGGACCAGATCTATGTCAAAAACGTCATTTACATTATCATTAGATTCATCTGCAGCATTTACATTCTTGAAGAAATTATAAAATCATCCAAAGTCACGTTGGCATTTTCTACTTTTCTGTCTTTAAAGAACTTCCAAAATGCTGAAGGATCATTCTTTGCAATGCGTGAAAAAATATTTTTAGTTTCAACAACAAACTTTCTATATTGCCATTTAACAGTTTTCTTATATAAACGATTACATTTCTTAATATTTTCTTTATCAACTCCTGATCTAGTCTTCTTATATTTCCTTCTTAGTCTTCTATATAAAAAACAACAAAAAACATTGCTTCAGGAGTCATAGCGCGTTCCCTGCAAGGCAACTGCAAGCGCTGAAATCGTGCTAATATGTCTGTGAGCAGCAAGTCAAAGCCTGTAAGCGCGTTCTCTGCAAGCTGTGCACGAAAACTGTGGATAGTCGAAACTCACATTGAAATCGTGTTAATATGACTGTGAGTTGATACTGAGAGTTAAAACTGTAAATGATAAAAATGCTTCAACTTACAGTGTCCGCAGTTTCTGAAGTAGGTCACCCAACCCGGTGATGAATACGATCGAGCTTCTGGGCTGAGTTCAAACCAGGCTTCATCACACATATGACAATACTTGTTTGTTACATCGTACTCCGCGTTCTTACACAGAAACCCCGTTTGTCCTGTGCATGTCTTCCAGCAATCTTCAACAGTTGACGTAGTTGCAGAGGCAACGTTACAATAGTTAACACCAACGCCGCCGTGGCCGGTGTAGGTATCTCCGTAAACTGTGCAGACTGAATGTCAAGAAAAACACACATTTTCAATTTGTTCAAAGTGAGTGAGCGAGCTTGGCTTTACCCCTCTTTAAGCAATATGACGGCGGGGGACACCAGAAATGGGCATCACACATTGTACCCATGTAGGTAATCGAATCTAGGTCTTCATCTAGACGAGCTGATGTTTTAACCACTAGACTATCCTACCGGCCCCCTTGATACTGGTAACTAAGTTCAGTAATATTGTTCTTTAATGTACTCACATTGCACACATTCGTTGGTGGAAGAGTTGAATGAGTAGCCAATATCGCATACACAGGTTCCACCTCTACAGATGAAATTGGGTGCTGAGCAATCTCCGTTACTGCTGCAAAGTTGTCCGAATAATTTGCTTGCTGAAAGCCAAGGAGACAGAGCAGATCAATGTCAATGGTACACTACCTTCCTTCATCGACCGTGAACACAACCGTCCGCTTTCCAAGGTTATTTTTAACCAACCAATCAAAACTCGCCCTGTTCCCAACGAGCGGGAAACCTGCTGTTGCTCTGACCAATAAGCGCTCAGGTCACATCATGTAAAAAGAAATATTTGTGATGGAACCTTTGCGGGCATCTACTCTCTCATTGTTTCACTATGAGGGTTTGTGCGTATTTGACATCCATGAGTATTAAACGACCTGATTAATGACTGTCACACCGCGTAGCCGTCTTGTGCATTAAGAGGATATGGGTCGGATCCAATAATTATTGAAACTAGAAATGTAAAATGTTATGCTTTCATATAACGTCCTATGCATTCATGAAACTATGAAGCTATCAAAGTACAAAACCTTGTCAATATTCATGAGCAGTCATGGCCAAGAAAAAACCCCGTACTCTATCCTCACACATAATGACATATACTCACACAAAGTCAAGTCAATAATACACTGGGCCATATAGTACGAGTCATAATATTTCGTCAATGACATGTTCTCTATATGTCTTTTTCAAAAGTTTCGAAAGGAATGAATTTGTTTAGCTTTGATCAGACGGGGCGGCGGGGTAGCCTAATGGTTAAAGCATCCGCTCGTCTCGCTGTAGACCCGGTTTTGGACGATCCTTTACGTCACCTCTGAACACATGCTTCCTCCAAAGTCGAGATGAACTACTAAAGTTGAACTTCTTTGATGGGCATTTTAGAAGTTGAGTTGATGAAGAATGATGACAATTGTTATGGATATACAACTTCTTTTATTGTGAAAGGCGACGTTTCGACATAGATTCTAATGTTGTTGTCAAGCAAGATCACTTGCTTGCCATCATATATCTTCCGAAAGTCTACGTTTTGCCATGTCAAACAAGTTATGTTTTTGTACTGCCGTCTTTTAAATCAGTTTGGAAAACTGAATGCAGATATTGAATTTAGGAAAGTTTTACCACAATGTAATTGGCGCCTTCGCAGCACGAAAACGTGCGTCCATAGGTTTTGTGGATATTGTGTGACGCACGTGCATTCAAATATGCTAGAGTATGATCAACTATTTGGACAAAATTTTAATCGCCCTTGGGTTCAGCTGGTGCCTAATTAATGTCCATACATGTATGAAGGAAGTCAACTGTGACACAAGCTGAATTGGGTGTAGCTTGAGGTGTAGCGTTGACATTTAGAAACAACTGTCTCTGCCGGTTCATCAGAATTGTGAAGAATTTGGTCAATGTACGGATTTCTTGTAGATTCACCTGAACAAACACCGGATCAGATCTCTGAGTATGGGATATGGCTTCTGACTCCTTGCAATAACGTTCCTGTCGACGTCGATAGACACACTATAAAATTTTAGTCGCAAACTAAACATTATAACGAACTATAATATTAGCAAACTAAAATGTGTTGTGTAACCGTTGTTTACGGTACTTACATTTTCTTGCACACAGCATGGTACATTTCATGAACGTTCACTATTAATCACTGATAGTAATGTTACAAAATGTATTTTTTCGCAATAGACAGCAATAACTTTGCGAGTGTGTGGATAAACTGGTAGCTGCGCTCTTCGTTCTCACGATACTTATTCTTTGTTGTCCACATTGATTTACCGTCCATTTGTGATCGAACGGTCTGACCTTGACCTTCATTTACAGTGCGATTTACTGTTTACCTCGTCTAAAATGTCTGCTGTAATCATTGCAGTAACTTTGTTCCATGTACATGTCTTGTGATGCTCTTATTTTCACATAAAACATTGACAACAATATGGCTACGCGTTTCTTTTTTTGAGAATTATATATCAGAACTGAGGATAATGGCACTTCAATAAGCGGCGTTCTTCGTTCTTAACATACTGATACGTTGTTGTACACATTGATTTGCCGTCCATTTGTGATCGACTGGGTTGACAAATATTACACCATCAATATCTAATTTCTACATGAAATAGCATATTATCAACCTCTTAACTATTTTTGGTTTCTCCTCCAATTGCCTTTAAAGAACAAGGTACGCAACTCACCTGTTCACAAGATTGACGGTGTTCGGATAACAAACGGGTTACCCACAACCAGCAGGATCAACTGAGCAGGATCATTCAAAGGAAATGTCCCAACTAACAGAAAGCATTGGTTCAGGAGTCATAGCGCGTGTCCTGCATGGTATCTGCAAGCGCTGAAATCGTGCTAATATGACTGTGAGCAAGTGAAAGCCTGAAAGCGCGTTCTCTGCAAGTTGTCCACGAAAACTGTGGATACTCATATTGAAATCGTGTTCATATGACTGTGAGCAAATCAACGCCTCTTGATGCTGAGAGTTAAAAGTGCCAAAAATACATGTAAATGATAAAAATGTTTCAACTTACAATCTCCACAGTTTCTGAAGTAGGTCACCCAACCCGGTGATGAATACGATCGAGCTTCTGGGCTGAGTTCAAACCAGGCTTCATCACACATATGACAATACTTGTTTGTTAAATCGTACTCCGCGTTCTTACACAGAAACCCCGTTTGTCCTGTGCATGTCTTCCAGCAATCTTCAACAGTTGACGTAGTTGCAGAGGCGACGTTACAATAGTTAACGCCAACGCCGCCGTGGCCGGTGTAGGTATCTCCATAAACTGTGCAGACTGAATGTCAAGAAAAACACACATTTTCAATTTGTTCAAAGTGAGTGAGCGAGCTTGGCTTTACCCCTCTTTAAGCAATATGACGGCGGGGGACACCAGAAATGGGCATCACACATTGTACCCATGTAGGTAATCGAATCTAGGTCTTCATCTAGACGAGCTGATGTTTTAACCACTAGACTATCCTACCGGCCCCCCTTGATACTGGTAACTAAGTTCAGTAATATTGTTCTTTAATGTACTCACATTGCACACATTCGTTGGTGGAAGAGTTGAATGAGTAGCCAATATCGCATACACAGGTTCCACCTCTACAGATGAAATTGGGTGCTGAGCAATCTCCGTTACTGCTGCAAAGTTGTCCGAATAATTTGCTTGCTGAAAGCCAAGGAGACAGAGCAGATCAATGTCAATGGTACACTACCTTCCTTCATCGACCGTGAACACAACCGTCCGCTTTCCAAGGTTATTTTTTAACCAACCAATCAAAACTCGCCCTGTTCCCAACGAGCGGGAAACCTGCTGTTGCTCTGACCAATAAGCGCTCAGGTCACATCATGTAAAAAGAAATATTTGTGATGGAACCTTTGCGGGCATCTACTCTCTCATTGTTTCACTATGAGGGTTTGTGCGTATTTGACATCCATGAGTATTAAACGACCTGATTAATGACTGTCACACCGCGTAGCCGTCTTGTGCATTAAGAGGATATGGGTCGGATCCAATAATTATTGAAACTAGAAATGTAAAATGTTATGCTTTCATATAACGTCCTATGCATTCATGAAACTATGAAGCTATCAAAGTACAAAACCTTGTCAATATTCATGAGCAGTCATGGCCAAGAAAAAACCCCGTACTCTATCCTCACACATAATGACATATACTCACACAAAGTCAAGTCAATAATACACTGGGCCATATAGTACGAGTCATAATATTTCGTCAATGACATGTTCTCTATATGTCTTTTTCAAAAGTTTCGAAAGGAATGAATTTGTTTAGCTTTGATCAGACGGGGCGGCGGGGTAGCCTAATGGTTAAAGCATCCGCTCGTCTCGCTGGAGACCCGGTTTTGGACGATCCTTTACGTCACCTCTGAACACATGCTTCCTCCAAAGTCGAGATGAACTACTAAAGTTGAACTTCTTTGATGGGCATTTTAGAAGTTGAGTTGATGAAGAATGATGACAATTGTTATGGATATACAACTTCTTTTATTGTGAAAGGCGACGTTTCGACATAGATTCTAATGTTGTTGTCAAGCAAGATCACTTGCTTGCCATCATATATCTTCCGAAAGTCTACGTTTTGCCATGTCAAACAAGTTATGTTTTTGTACTGCCGTCTTTTAAATCAGTTTGGAAAACTGAATGCAGATATTGAATTTAGGAAAGTTTTACCATAATGTAATTGGCGCCTTCGCAGCACGAAAACGTGCGTCCATAGGTTTTGTGATATTGTGTGACGCACGTGCATTCAAATATGCTAGAGTATGATCAACTATTTGGACAAAATTTTAATCGCCCTTGGGTTCAGCTGGTGCCTAATTAATGTCCATACATGTATGAAGGAAGTCAACTGTGACACAAGCTGAATTGGGTGTAGCTTGAGGTGTAGCGTTGACATTTAGAAACAACTGTCTCTGCCGGTTCATCAGAATTGTGAAGAATTTGGTCAATGTACGGATTTCTTGTAGATTCACCTGAACAAACACCAGATCAGATCTCTGAGTATGGGATATGGCTTCTGACTCTTTGCAATAACGTTCCTGTCGACGTCGATAGACACACTATAAAATTTTAGTCGCAAACTAAACATTATAACGAACTATTATAATAGCAAACTAAAATGTGTTGTGTAACCGTTGTTTACGGTACTTACATTTTCTTGCACACAGCATGGTACATTTCATGAACGTTCACTATTAATCTCTGATAGTAATGTTACAAAATGTATTTTTTCGCAATAGACAGCAATAACCTTGCGAGTGTGTGGATAAACTGGTAGCTGCGCTCTTCGTTCTCACGATACTTATTCTTTGTTGTCCACATTGATTTACCGTCCATTTGTGATCGAACGGTCTGACCTTGACCTTCATTTACAGTGCGATTTACTGTTTACCTCGTCTAAAATGTCTGCTGTAATCATTGCAGTAACTTTGTTCCATGTACATGTCTTGTGATGCTCTTATTTTCACATAAAACATTGACAACAATATGGCTACGCGTTTCTTTTTTTGAGAATTATATATCAGAACTGAGGATAATGGCACTTCAATAAGCGGCGTTCTTCGTTCTTAACATACTGATACGTTGTTGTACACATTGATTTGCCGTCCATTTGTGATCGACTGGGTTGACAAATATTACACCATCAATATCTAATTTCTACATGAAATAGCATATTATCAACCTCTTAACTATTTTTGGTTTCTCCTCCAATTGCCTTTAAAGAACAAGGTACGCAACTCACCTGTTCACAAGATTGACGGTGTTCGGATAACAAACGGGTTACCCACAACCAGCAGGATCAACTGAGCAGGATCATTCAAAGGAAATGTCCCAACTAACAGAAAGCATTGGTTCAGGAGTCATAGCGCGTGTCCTGCATGGTATCTGCAAGCGCTGAAATCGTGCTAATATGACTGTGAGCAAGTGAAAGCCTGAAAGCGCGTTCTCTGCAAGTTGTCCACGAAAACTGTGGATACTCATATTGAAATCGTGTTCATATGACTGTGAGCAAATCAACGCCTCTTGATGCTGAGAGTTAAAAGTGCCAAAAATACATGTAAATGATAAAAATGTTTCAACTTACAATCTCCACAGTTTCTGAAGTAGGTCACCCAACCCGGTGATGAATACGATCGAGCTTCTGGGCTGAGTTCAAACCAGGCTTCATCACACATATGACAATACTTGTTTGTTAAATCGTACTCCGCGTTCTTACACAGAAACTCCGTTTGTCCTGTGCATGTCTTCCAGCAATCTTCAACAGTTGACGTAGTTGCAGAGGCGACGTTACAATAGTTAACGCCAACGCCGCCGTGGCCGGTGTAGGTATCTCCATAAACTGTGCAGACTGAATGTCAAGAAAAACACACATTTTCAATTTGTTCAAAATTGAGTGAGCGAGCTTGGCTTTACCCCTCTTTAAGCAATATGACGGCGGGGGACACCAGAAATGGGCATCACACATTGTACCCATGTAGGTAATCGAATCTAGGTCTTCATCTAGACGAGCTGATGTTTTAACCACTAGACTATCCTACCGGCCCCCTTGATACTGGTAACTAAGTTCAGAAATATTCTCTTTAATGTACTCACATTGCACACATTCGTTGGTGGAAGAGTTGAATGAGTAGCCAATATCGCATACACAGGTTCCACCTCTACAGATGAAATTGGGTGCTGAGCAATCTCCGTTACTGCTGCAAAGTTGTCCGAATAATTTGCTTGCTGAAAGCCAAGGAGACAGAGCAGATCAATGTCAATGGTACACTACCTTCCTTCATCGACCGTGAACACAACCGTCCGCTTTCCAAGGTTATTTTTAACCAACCAATCAAAACTCGCCCTGTTCCCAACGAGCGGGAAACCTGCTGTTGCTCTGACCAATAAGCGCTCAGGTCACATCATGTAAAAAGAAATATTTGTGATGGAACCTTTGCGGGCATCTACTCTCATTGTTTCACTATGAGGGTTTGTGCGTATTTGACATCCATGAGTATTAAACGACCTGATTAATGACTGTCACACCGCGTAGCCGTCTTGTGCATTAAGAGGATATGGGTCGGATCCAATAATTATTGAAACTAGAAATGTAAAATGTTATGCTTTCATATAACGTCCTATGCATTCATGAAACTATGAAGCTATCAAAGTACAAAACCTTGTCAATATTCATGAGCAGTCATGGCCAAGAAAAAACCCCGTACTCTATCCTCACACATAATGACATATACTCACACAAAGTCAAGTCAATAATACACTGGGCCATATAGTACGAGTCATAATATTTCGTCAATGACATGTTCTCTATATGTCTTTTTCAAAAGTTTCGAAAGGAATGAATTTGTTTAGCTTTGATCAGACGGGGCGGCGGGGTAGCCTAATGGTTAAAGCATCCGCTCGTCTCGCTGGAGACCCGGTTTTGGACGATCCTTTACGTCACCTCTGAACACATGCTTCCTCCAAAGTCGAGATGAACTACTAAAGTTGAACTTCTTTGATGGGCATTTTAGAAGTTGAGTTGATGAAGAATGATGACAATTGTTATGGATATACAACTTCTTTTATTGTGAAAGGCGACGTTTCGACATAGATTCTAATGTTGTTGTCAAGCAAGATCACTTGCTTGCCATCATATATCTTCCGAAAGTCTACGTTTTGCCATGTCAAACAAGTTATGTTTTGTACTGTCATCTTTAAATCAGTTTGGAAAACTGAATGCAGATATTGAATTTAGGAAAGTTTTACCATAATGTAATTGGCGCCTTCGCAGCACGAAAACGTGCGTCCATAGGTTTTGTGATATTGTGTGACGCACGTGCATTCAAATATGCTAGAGTATGATCAACTATTTGGACAAAATTTTAATCGCCCTTGGGTTCAGCTGGTGCCTAATTAATGTCCATACATGTATGAAGGAAGTCAACTGTGACACAAGCTGAATTGGGTGTAGCTTGAGGTGTAGCGTTGACATTTAGAAACAACTTCCTCTGCCGGTTCATCAGAATTGTGAGGAATTTGGTCAATGTACGGATTTCTTGTAGATTCACCTGAACAAACACCGGATCAGATCTCTGAGTATGGGATATGTCTTCTGACTCTTTGCAATAACGTTCCTCTCGACGTCGATAGACACACTATAAAATTTTAGTCGCAAACTAAATATCATAACGAACTATAACAATAGCAAACTAAAATGTGTTGTGTAACCGTTGTTTACGGTACTTACATTTTCTTGCACACAGCATGGTACATTTCATGAACGTTCACTATTAATCTCTGATAGTAATGTTACAAATTGTATTTTTTCACAATTGACAACAATAACCTTGCGAGTGTGTGGATAAACCGGTAGCTGCGCTCTTCGTTCTCACAATACTTATTCTTTGTTGTCCACTTTGATTTACCGTCCATTTGTGATCGAACGGTCTGACCTTGACCTTCATTTACAGTGCGACTTACTGTTTACCTCGTCTAAAATGTCCGCTGTAATCATTGCAGTAACTTTGTTCCATGTACATGTCTTGTGATGCTCTTATTTTCACATAAAACATTGGCAACAATCTGTGCTACGCGTTTCTTTTTTTGAGAATTATATATCAGAACTGAGGATAATGGCACTTCAATAAGCGGCGTTCTTCGTTCTTAACATACTGCTACGTTGTTGTACACATTGATTTGCCGTCCATTTGTGATCGACTGGGTTAACAAATATTACACCATCAATATCTAATTTCTACATGAAATAGCATATTATCAACCGCTTAACTATTTTTGGTTTCTCCTCCAATTGCCTTTAAAGAACAAGGTACGCAACTCACCTGTTCACAAGAGTGACGGTGTTCGGATTACAAACGGGTTACCCACAACCAGCAGGATCAACTGAGCAGGATCATTCAAAGGAAATGTCCCAACTAACAGAAAGCATTGGTTCAGGAGTCATAGCGCGTGCCCTGCAAGGTATCCTCAAGCGCTGAAATCGTGCTAATATGACTGTGAGCAAGTGAAAGCCTGAAAGCGCGTTCTCTGCAAGTTGTCCACGAAAACTGTGGATACTCATATTGAAATCGTGTTCATATGACTGTGAGCAAATCAACGCCTCTTGATGCTGAGAGTTAAAAGTGCCAAAAATACATGTAAATGATAAAAATGTTTCAACTTACAATCTCCACAGTTTCTGAAGTAGGTCACCCAACCCGGTGATGAATACGATCGAGCTTCTGGGCTGAGTTCAAACCAGGCTTCATCACACATATGACAATACTTGTTTGTTAAATCGTACTCCGCGTTCTTACACAGAAACCCCGTGTGTCCTATGCATGTCTTCCAGCAATCTTCAACAGTTGACGTAGTTGCAGAGGCGACGTTACAATAGTTAACACCAATGCCGCCGTGGCCGGTGTAGGTCTCTCCGTAAACTGTGCAGACTGAATGTCAAGAAAAACACACATTTTCAATTTGTTCAAAGTGAGTGAGCGAGCTTGGCGTTACCCCTCTTTAAGCAATATGACGGCGGGGGACACCAGAAATGGGCTTCACACATTGCACCTATGTAGGTAATCCAACCCGAGTCTTCCTCTTGATGAGCGAACGCTTGTACCACTAGGCTACCCCACCGCCCCTATTTGTTCAAAGACTACATATACAGATACAACTTAACTGGATAGGTGAAGTTGTAGAGATGTTGGAGAAGTATTGCCAAAGGGTTATTGTTTTGGTGCTTGTTAAACGCTTCCCAATGTAAAATCCGACGGTGGTTTTCAAACACAAACTAGTGTGGAACACGTAGTCAAGCGTTCCGACCTGAATCCAGTCAAGCCAGAGACCCGTGAAGATCCGGGATAGAATTGGTCTCTAGTGATCCTTTCTTGTCGTAAGAGGCAACTAACGGGATCGGGTGGTCAAGCTCGCTGACGTGGTTGACACATGTCATCGTATCCCAATTGCTGTTGATCGCTGAATTGTCTGGTCCAGACTAATTATAGTGAGTGAGTTTAGTTTTACGCCGCTTATAGAAATAGTCCTGCAATATGACGGCGGGGGACACCAGAAATGGGCTTCATACATTGTACCCATGTGGGGACTCGAGCCCGGGTCTTCGGCGTGACGAGCCAACGCTTTAACCACTAGGCTACTCAACCGCCCGATTGTTTACAGACTGCCGCCATGTAGCTGGAATATTGCTGAGTGCGGCGTTATACAACGATCAATCGATCAACCAGCCAAGTCAGCAAGCCTGACCATCTAGTCGCCTCTTACGACAAGTGCCAGTGTACGTTATTAACTCTTGTATGTGAAGGGAATTAACTTCAAAGTTGTAATTTGTGAAATTCACCACTGATGGATTGGTTATAAACGTTCTTGGAACACTTAAATTTAAAATGACGCACAAAAACATTTTTATGTATGACCTGTTATGAAATTTAACAAGATCTACATGTCCACCCAAACAATAAATTTTAATTTGTATCTTTACCTAATGGTAATTTTGTGTTTTGATAGTGACTTCCAATTCAGAAAGTCTATTCGTGTACCACCCGGTGTCGGCCTTCTTTTGTACGTGGGTATATCAGTATAAACTGGAATGTGTTATGTATAGTTGGTTGGTTGTTGTTTTACGCCACACTCAGCAATATTCCAGGTATATGGCGGCTCTCTGTAAATAATCGAGTCTGGACCAAACGATCCAGTGATCAACATCATGGGCATCGATCTACGCAACGCGGATACGATGACACGTGTCAACCAAGTCACCCGATCCCGTTAGTCGCCTCTTACGACAAGCATGTGTTACTAAAGACCAATTCTAACCCGGATCTTCACGGGTATATTATGCATACTCGTTAGGAAACACCTACATTGGTCGCATCGGTTTTCTTCTCTATTAAAACTGTATCCGACATCACAGGCACAGCTGCCACTGAGGCATGTTGAGTTGACAACAGAGCAGTCTGAGTTTGAGCTGCAAGTAGTGCTGTGAAGATCGGGCGCTGAAAGGTAGAGTGAGTGAGTGAGTTATATCAAGCAATATTCACCAGTAGTATTCATAATATGTCACAATTACCATGACTACGTCTATTACAGAACTCCTTTGTTACATTATCTACATGATCACATTATCTATATGATCACATTATCTATATGATCACATTATCTACATGATCACATTATCTACATGATCACATGATCACATTATCACATGATCACATTATCTACATGATCACAGTATCTACATGATCACATTATCACATTATCTACATGATCACATTATCTACATGATCACATTATCTACAGTTCAATTTGTACGAAAGTTCTGGAAACTCCAGATTAGCTTTCTTTGAAACATTTCTAATAAATTTACATATTGCTTCTTTAACCTGTTCCGATAGCTATTGGCGGTGAGGTCAAAACGACAAACTGGTAATAGGACTTAAATTTCCCTGTCATCAATTTGCTGTCTCGTCATATAGCCCCAGAGTGGACAATCCAGGCGGAGGTGTATGTTGTACTAGATACAGATATATCCAGCACACCCAGTGGACCTAAATATAATTCACTTCAGACATTCCAATACAGAGTGGGCAATACATCGAGGTCTATGTAGTAGCAGATTCACATATATCCAGCATATATCATGCGGGCCTAGATTAATTCCTTGAAACATTCCAGGTATTGTCTTCACGTCATTCCATATGGTCGCCGGGTAGCCTGCTCATCACGCTGAACACCCAGGTTCGAGTCCCCATATGGGAACAATGTGTGAAGCTCATTCCTGGTGTCCCCCGCCGTGATATTGCTGGAATATTGCTAAAAGCGGAGTAAAACCATAATCATTCATTCATTTACGCTTTTACTTCCTTATGACAGTAAGTCTAAACGTAAAATAACTCATGGTAACATTACGTTGCTTTCGTATTGTATATGCGATTTGGGGGACGGAGACCCCTTCATACAATGCATATGGGCATACTTGTTCTGATTCTGTTTCCACCAATAGCAACATCAGGCAAAGACTTAAGCCACTGCTTTTATGCCAAGTCTGGAAAACATGGTTTAAGTAAAATAAACAAAAACGTTAGATAGATATATTAAATCATTAAAATATTACTTACATTTAGTGCACTGGTTCACAGAACGCTTGTATGTGTTGCCATAGTTACAAGTACAACGGGAGGTGGAGCTTTTACAGACAGAATTAGCCACGGAACAATCGGAGTCCACGGTGCATGGGTCGTCCAGTAGGTTTGGTACTATAGTGAACAAAAGAATAACATGAGACATCAACGTTCAGGAACGTTCAACTTAAATTTCGCCGACTCTTCTATTACATTAGGGGCGGTATGTGGTTAAAACGTTCGCTCGTGTCGCCGAAGGCCAGGGTTCGATTCTGCACATGGGTACAATGTGTGAAAAAACCCCGCCGTGATATTGCTTGAATATTGCTAAAAGAGGCGTAAGACTACTCTCACTCACTCACTCCATTACAAGAAATTATGATAACAGTATTAAGTTGGCGGGTAACTGAATTTGACGAAGACGTTAACATGTGTAAATATCCGATACCCATAAACAACCTCTACCAGGCGCTACTGATCAAAATCAACATGTTCCCAGAACAATAAAGGTTTCCGGGTCATCTGAGGCTACGTATATATAAACTTTGTACTGTGCAAGAATAGAAAGTTAATGTCAGGAAAAGAATTCCTACACTCAATGCATGTATTGGCTTTGTTGTCGTAGTTGTAGAACACCGCGCAGTCACAGACACCGTTGCTACAGACACCACTAGTGAAATGACAGTCGGCATCAATGGCACATGGATGACCAATGGCGTGAGGTGCTGAAAAAATACATACACTTGAATCAAAGACTGACCACAGGATCAATCACATCTATTAATTGTATGAATTCGTGTCGGATGTCAACATGGAACATTCTGTTTAATATAAGCTATTTGTTATAGTTGACAGGCTTCATTTTACGAGTCAGTGACTATGACAATGGCTATGACTGTGAGTTTATGGCTATGACAAAATATCCAGTCATATAATCTAAAGAGGATCAATTCTAACTGTGCCACTATGCATGCTAATGTTTCTGACATGTTTCGTGGTGAAATCAGAAACATCTACATTGTACATGTACTTTGTGCGACGTCATTAGGAGGAAAGCAACGTCATTAAGAGGAAAATGAAGCGGCGTCATTAGGAGAAAAGCGACGTCATTAGGAGGAAAGCAGCATCATTAGGCGGAAAGCGAAGTGGCGTCATTAGGAGGAAAGCGAAGCGGCGTCATTAGGAGGAAAGCGGCGTCATTAGGAGGAAAGCAGCGTCATTGGGATGAAAGCGACGTCATTAGGAGGAAAGCAAAGCGGCGTCATAGGAGGAAAGCGGCGTCATTAGGAGGAAAGCAGCGTCATTAAGAGAAAATGGGTGAAGCCGATTTCCGGCTTCCTCTCCGTGAGGGTGCTGCAGTGTTGCTAAAGTAGCACCACTCACTCGCTGTATCATGTACTGAACACAGGAAAAGATATAACCTGTTGGGAATTTGTCTCATTAACCTGCTGTCATAACATACTAATACTAATACTGTCATAACATACTTCTCATCACTTGGTTGTCGTCTACACTGACTCAATGCTTTATGCAATAAACAAGTGAGTTGTTATCATACAGTTAGTATTATCTCAATTACCGTTAGTGTCCGCCATGTAGCTGGAATATTGCTGAGTGTGGCGTAAGACTAAACTCACTCACTCAAACCACCGTTAGTGCTTTTGCAAAAAATAATTGGCAAATAAATTCAAAATTATACAGATTTAAAGTAATGTTCCTTCCTTTCTTTCGAGGATTCTACAGAGATTTGCAAAAACGTACAACATGACGCTTTACCTGCACAGGTAAGGTATGTTCTTGCACCATCTTGATTCACGGCACCCATCCTCGTTGGTGTCGACATGCTGCCGCTATACCCAATACACGTCTGCGTTGCACGGTTGTAGGTGAATGAACGGCACTGGACACTCATGTAACACTCTGAACTACATTCTGCTACTGTTACAGACTTGGTTCTTGTCCAGACTTGGTATAATGGACTGATATGATCATTAAATATAGGATATGGGATGGCTGTACACTGTCCACACGCCAGTGAATGAACAGACTCTAGCATAATCAACATTGTTGCAAATATATACAACACGTCTTGATATATCGCCATCTCTGATTTCATCTGCCCACAGTGAGTGTGGCTAGCTCTGCGTTTATAAATTCTACTCCCGATTCGTCTCATTACTAAGGGACTAAAGGCCCGCGTGCCATTGATTATATCGCTTTCATTGACAGGACGGAGTTAATTTATCATGAAGTCTGAGAGAACGTCGTTTTGATTTATGATCTGTGACAAGTTTTCTTCACACTCATACGACCTGCCATTGTATTTATAAAGTCAAAAGAATGTTTTTGATAGAAATTTGGAAGAAGAATCTCACCCTCCATCCATTATGAGCATGTACATGTAGCCGTGGGGAACAAAAATATACCTACATATCTATCTTCAGAGGTGGGGTGGGGTGAGGTGAGGTGATATCGGGTTTAACGTCGTACTTAAGATTATTTCTCTCATATGACGACGTGCATGCGTGTGTATGTATGGCTGCTTGTACTAGCCCAGCTGGTTTTATAGTGCTAGCCCACTGAGATACCATGCCGCAGTGAAGCATGAATGCCCCACTCAAACACATCATACTGACTCCGAGCCGACCAGTCCTTGATGTACCCATTAATGCCGAGCGCCAGGCAGGGGCCAACAAGTACCATATTTTAGCATCTTTTGGTATGACGCGCCCGGGGATAGAACCCGCGACCTTTCACTCTCCGGGCAGACGCTCTAACTACTACACCACGGAGGCGTTCATATCTATCTTCTGAGTTCAGGATACATTGTTAAAAATGAAAGCAATGTTATATGACGTTTACCGAGAAAACAATGTGTGAAATGCTGGACTCTCTCCTTGATAAAATCTTTGTCGAATTTGGGGGTAAAACATTTCGCCATGAAGTAGGCATCCCCATGGTCACCAATTGTGCTCTCCTCCTTGAGGATTTGTTTCTTTATGCATATGAATACGAATTTCTGTTTGGGTTGGCAAAATCTAAACAAAGTAATTTGGCCAAGAAGTTTAACTTTTATAAGCTTTAAGTACATCGATGGTGCAATATTGTTCATTAACCATCAAATAGCCATTTGCTTTCCACTAACTGACCCACCTGGACTTGAAATTAAGGAGACAAGTGAGACCGCCTCAACTGTTTCATGTTTAGATCTATGCATAGAGATTCAGAGTGACAAAATACTCTCCACAAACTGTATGACAAAAGGGATGATTTCAACTTCCCAATAGTCAACTTCCCTTTCATGTCGAGCAATATTTCAACAACTCCAGCCTTTGGTGTTTACATTTGAGGTACAATCGAGTGTGCTCTTTTTATCAGGATTTCAAAGGGCGTCACACAACGCTTCCTCACCACATAAACGCTCTAATAAAACCCGAGAGCTAGCTGTGACACATCAGAACGTGGTAAAATACTGTCCACAATCAGAGCTTGAAGTCACTGATTGGTCATTAAAGAGATTAAAGTAATCAATGACATGTCCAAACGGCAACAAGAATGGACACCCCCTTTAATGATGCTTATAGAATGTTAAGCAATGTCACCACTGTCAAATGATGTTAGTGACCCATGACGTTTTGCTTTAACAATTGCCAAGCTCTGTTATGAAAACACCGTGCCAAATTCATTTGGAAAAAAAAGCTTTGACCGTAACCATTTCGTTACCCTCTGTAACGAGATCCAACCGTTTGAATTGTCTTCAGCGTTAATCGCGACCATAAAAGCTTTTCCTCGCGGCTTGCTTATGTAATAGTGAAGTCATTGTGATTGTTGTAAGAACTTTTCCCGGTCCGGAGAGGAATTTTGAGGTTCGATCCCCGCCTGTCGTATACCAAAAGATGATAAGAAGACGTTTCCCCATCTGGTGCTCGTCAATAGAAGCATCACAAGTAGGTCCAGAAACTGTATAATTTGTTCTGTGTATGGTATTCATGGGAAACTGAGATAGATAATGCGAAAAAACGCTTGTACACAAAAGACTGAAGTGTTTAAATCATTTGAAGGCACGCAAGTAATATGTTCGTTGTAATGCATTATGTTTCACCTGTGCATAAACGTCGAATACAACTGATAAGATTCAATATCCATTATCTGGTCTTAATGTAGGAAGAGATCGTATATAAGCGTTTTACCATTTACTACAACCTTAAATCATGACTTGGGTGCATGGGTTTGGATTAATTTCAAGTATTTCAATTACATTATGGATTAATATTTTGAGATTCGGAGATTCCATCAATTCTAGCAAACCTGGATTTCAAGAATAACTAACTAGGCATTGCAGAACCTCCACCAATAGGCTCATGGCGTCTCTAAACCTCAAAGTCTGCCAGAAGTGTTAACGTTAACTACATTAAAAATAATCGACAGAGATGGAGGTATTAGCAAAACGTGGGTAGAATACACCAGCACACACGTCAGCTTGTGCGTCCAACCTTATTCCGATGACACTCTACTGCCTCCTGTTGTATCCATTGTGTCGTAGCGTACAAGTGCACAATGTTTGTGAGGGAGTGAGTGAGTCAGGTTTTACGCCGTTTAGAGCACTATTCCAGCAATTTCACAGCGGGGGACACCAGAAATTGGCTTCACACATCGTATCTATGTGGGGAATCGAACCCAGGACTACCCCACCGCCCCACAAAATGTGAAAATCAAGCTGTAAGTCAAAATCAAGCCAAGTTAGTATATATTTACTTTATTTTGGGAAACTATTCCCAAGATGTCATATATCACTTACATGAGAATTCAATCACCCAGAAACCTCTTCTCGCCATTGCCTTAAGTACATGCATTGTCTTGTGCGTCGTGGATTTACCGGCTTGTACATCTTTAATGAGCAAGTAACTTCAAACAGAGAAAGGCAAAGATTCTGTTTACGAAAACTCGAGGGCAATCAGGAATGCACCAAATAACATCAATTCCTGGACAAAGCTCGAATACATAATTTATATACTACCCATCAAAAGTTTAGACTCACTTAAAACACTCCTATATGTTATCTATATATGTATGGTTACATCGAAGATGAATTTCTCCACCAACTTGGGGAAACCAACTGCCAACCCTATGCAGATTAACTGCACGAGGATCATGCATCAAATTGCTGAAAAGCATGTGAACAGCTGCGTTTCGGTGTAAAGTTTTGTTCAGAATTCGTCAATATCATTGATTTTCATCATTTACTGAACTCATGACAATAATCTTTTCAACGGTACGAATTTGTTTTACAGTACATCAGTTCATGTGTAAACGGTACCTTTAGACGGTATGGAAAGTTAGAACAGTTGACTTAAGTAAGTGGCTACATTTACACTAGTGAGTCTAAACTTTTGATGGGTAGTATACATGTGCGTTTATAGCCTGGGCCCAAAAAATGAGAGGATGGCTGCGAACACTCCCTTTCGGGCAGTAATTGAAGCGGGATCAGGACTCCTATGTAATTTGTTTGAGGTTTTAAAACACATGAAAAGTAAACAGGGAAAGTAGGATGGAGGTGAGGCCATGAAAGGTGGAGAAACGTAAGATGGAGGGTGAAGACATGAAAGGTGGGGGAAAGTAGGATTGATGTGAAGACATGAAAGGTGGGTGAAAGTAGGATGGAGGTGAGGCCATGAAAGGTGGAGAAACGTAAGATGGATGTGAAGACATGAAAGGTGGGGGAAAGTAGGATTGATGTGAAGACATGAAAGGTGGGGAAAGTAGGATGGAGGTGAAGACATGAAAGGAAAGGGGAGAAACGTAAGATGGATGTGAAGACATGAAAGGTGGGGAAAGTAGGATTGATGTGAAGACATGTGGGGAAAAGGTGGGTGAAAGTAGGATGGAGGTGAGGCCATGAAAGGTGGAGAAACGTAAGATGGATGTGAAGACATGAAAGGTGGGGGAAAGTAGGATTGATGTGAAGACATGAAAGGTGGGGAAAGTAGGATGGAGGTGAAGACATGAAAGGTGGAGAAACGTAAGATGGATGTGAAGACATGAAAGGTGGGGGAAAGTAGGATTGATGTGAAGACATGAAAGGTGGGTGAAAGTAGGATGGAGGTGAAGACATGAAAAGTGGGGGAAAGTAGGATGGAGGTGAAGACACGAAAGGTGGGGGAACGTAGGATGGATGTGAAGACATGAAAGGTTGGGGAAAGTAGGATGGATGTGAAGACATGAAAGGTGGGGGAACGTAAGGTGGAGGGTGAAGACATGAAAGGTGGGGGAAAGTAGGATGGAGGTGAAGACATGAAAGGTGGAGGAACGTAAGGCGGAGGGTTAAGACATGAAAGATGGAGAAACGTAAGGTGGAGGATGAAGACATGAAAGATGGAGAAACGTTAGGCTGATGGTGAAGACATGAAAGATGGAGAAACGTAAGGTGGAGGGTGAAGACATGAAGATGGAGAAACGTAAGGCGGAGGGTGAAGACATGACAGTTGAGAAACGTAAGGCGGAGGGTGAAGACATGAAAGGTGGGAAACGTAAGGCGGAGGGTTAAGACATGAAAGGTGGGGAAAGTAGGATGGATGTGAAGACATGAAAGGTGGGGGAAAGTAGGATGGAGGTGAAGACATGAAAGGTTGGGGAAAGTAGGATGGATGTGAAGACATGAAAGGTGGGGGAAAGTAGGATGGATGTGAAGACATGAAAGGTTGGGGAAAGTAGGATGGATGTGAAGACATGAAAGGTGGGGGAAAGTAGGATGGATGTGAAGACATGAAAGGTTGGGGAAAGTAGGATGGAGGTGAAGACATGAAAGGTGGGGGAAAGTAGGATGGACGTGAAGACATGAAAGGTGGGGGAACGTAAGGTGGAGGGTGAAGACATGACAGGTGGGGGAACGTAAGGTGGAGGGTGAAGACATGACTGGTGGGGGAACGTAAGGCGGAGGGTGAAGATAGGAAAGGTTGGGGAACGTAAGGTGGAGGGTGAAGACATGAAAGGTTGGGGTACGGAGAAGCGGACGGTGAAGACATGAATGGTGGGGGAACGTAAGACAGAAGATGAGGGCATGACAATAAGGGAAAGTCACATTCTCCCCATGCTGTCTTTCAGAGGGTCCTACAAGTATAGTGTTTATCATGTTGATCAGGTACAAAATTGGGAAAACAGTTCATATATCAAGCCCTCAAACAACTCCGCCTGCCTTGTCGCCTCTCCCGCTCCCGACTTCCCCTTGGTTGAACATAACGGTACAATAACTATTTTCAGGAAATCATTTTGATAAAACGCATTTCAGTCTATAACGAATTTACAAACAGACAGTATCAAGTATTCGTTATTTCCTGATAATGGCTAGCAGCAGTGAGTGCGTTTCCATTTTAAGTCACATCGGCAATATTTCAGCCATATCGTGACTAAATGAAATTATAGATTTAAAGTAATTGAAAGGAAATATTATAATCCTGTCAACGAAGGACAGTAAAACAACTAGACTATCACAGATATAAATTTAGAACTAGTAATTAAATCTAAAATATATTAACTATACATGACAATACAATATATAAAACAGGCTATAGATTGCCAAACACCGAAGGTAGATCACCATACTAGGGACCATGGGGACTTACAGTACATTGGCTTCCTGCATGGACCCTAGATGGGTTTACACCATCCCTTCAGATGTTAGCAATGTTTGTTAATTTAGCCATAAATTTAAATAAAATATATGCTGCAGTTATAAAACAAGTAGTGCATATAAATTTACTATAATTGTTTGGGACTTACGTGACTAGCAAACAGACCGAAATACAGTCACGGACATTTCCTATTCACAGTCCAAGCGCCGATACAATGTCTTTTAAAAAGGGGAGAACTTAAGATAAAAAAGGTCTGATATTTGAATATGTTCAATTTCATAATTATTTCATGATTTTTAAAAATTTAGTAATATATATTTAATAGATGTAAACATGATTCGTGTGTTTAGCGAAGGGGTGGGCGTAGTAGTCATGGGAACACCGTCGTCCTGCACGACGAATTAGGTAATCAGATCCGTGCATGGAGGCACACACATACAGTGAGTGAGTGAGTGAGTGAGTGAGAGAGTGAGAGAGTGAGTGAGTGAGTGAAACTGTTTTACCCCGCATCAGCAATTTAGCATCTATTCGCGGCGATAAATACTGTTTATGCTACAACATATTAAGGACACAAATGAGAATGATTGTGAAATTCACTAAAAAGTCCCAGGAAACTATTCAAAAATAAAACGTCACTATTAGGATAAAATTATATATTTTGTCATATATTTTGATTTCTTTTAAGTCTGCTAAAATTAAATGGTTAGAAACTGTTGTAAAACGTTCTTCTAAGGTATGAACATTATCATAAAATCGCTCCCTGACAAGTGCAAAATCAACAAATACGCAGACACATACACACGCAGACACAAAGACTGAAGACACTTCAACAGGCACACCTCATGCGCATCTCGATCACTCGCACTTGCCACAAGCCACTCCTTGCAATATTCCTACTTCTTGACTGGTCACGCCACACGACAGTTTGTCTCTGTGTCACCTAATGCCCATTCAGATGGTGGTTTGTGTTGTCAAGCTAATATTTATCTATACAGCAGAGTGTATTCAGTTGGATGTGTCACGGAATACCGCACCCCCAGATACCTTTCACAATTGTTTGACACCGTTGACTTGATTTCTGAAGTTACTTGACAGTCTTAATGGCCCATAACAACTGACTGGACCTTTTTAAAACATCGTTCTTTGAATGCTGTCTAAGTAGGTAGATATGTTTATGTATAGTTCGATCTATAGGCCTTAAGTACTAAGATTTCAAGAGAATTCCGACAGCATCACGCGAGGACAGTGTGTGTGTGTGTGTGTGTGAGTGAGTGAGTGAGTGAGTGAGTGAGTGAGAGAGAGAGCATTATCGCCAAAGTATGTGTGTGTCTGTGTGTGTGTTTCTGTATGTCTGTCTGTATGTGTGAGTGTGTGAGTGAGAGAGAGCATTTTCGCCAAGTATGTGTGTGTATATATCTATATATATCTATATATATCTATCTGTATGTCTGTATGTATGAGTGAGTGAGTGAGTGAGTGAGTGAGTGAGTGAGTGAGTGAGTGAGAGAGAAAGCATTTTCGCCAAAGTAGTAAGTGTCTAAGACAGTTTTCGACATGCAATTAAAGAAAAGTAGGGGATATTCAATTTTTCGAGCATACTACTAGCCAATGCCAATGCATATGAAAAAATCGTATATACCCATACAGATGAAACATTTCCAAAGGAATGGAATATTTGTCAAATTTTCCCGTAATTTCTCTTCATCGTCCGTTTCCTCCTTGGCTTCATCATTTGCATTTTATCAATCTTGTAAATCCAATATCCCCTACATTTTTTGAATGGTACATATCTGAAACACAACACAAAGCGGCGTTAAACCACGCACACCCACTACCCCACAACTCTACCTAAGTCTGTCCGCATACTTTATACAAGGTACCAACATTAACAGTGCATACTAACACCCCACAGTGTGAAAGTGAAAATTCATATCAATAAACAAATACTGTCTGCCTGAAGCTGAATAACTCTGCCAACAATGAATCCATGATCGCCGCGCACAGGGCGTATCATGACATGGTTCAATAGTTCTCTTTCACTAGAGGTGTATGGTTTAAATACGAAGTGTTCGTCCACTACAGAAATCCAACTATGCTCACAATACAATAATGGTTTTCTATGCACACACCAGAATAGACGACGGGCTTCTAACAGTCAACAAGTCTACGAATAACCATTGCCTACCTAACATGAGAATAAACGAAGAACGATCGGGATTTTATCTCTTGGATTATAAGAGGTGTATTTACTGTACAATGTAAACTCAGTGTGTCTCCAAGATGGAATTCATACTACGACAAGTGTTCATCACTTTCACTCTCCTGACACTGATTCATATCTCCTCGTCTCAAGGTAACGCAATCTATTTTGTATGTGTTGAACATGCCCTCTCTTGAATATTGATCAGTTTCCAGAAGTCTGGGTGTGTTGGGCACTAATGGATATGTTTGTAAGGTTGTGGACTGAGGTCATTTGGTTAAGCCACGGAAGACGTACTCATTGCTGATGTCTCATTCCTCACTAACCTCCATGGTATGGCTGAAAACAAGCTTATACCCTAACCTCAACGTCTAGTACATCAATTGACCGCTACATTAATCCCAAGAATAAATTTATCTTATATGAAAGTATGTATCTTAAAATAATATATAAAATCCGAAAGGATCCTAGAGAATTCTTAATCCCCACCTAGCGTTGTCAGTCTAGACTTGCCCAATCATTCTAGACTTGAAATTGTCTCCTTTAATATATTCTGTAAAGTCTGGAGACTAGCATACCACCTCCGTGGGTTGCTGGATTGAGAGTCTGCCTGAAGGACTGAAGGGTTCGATCTCTGTTGGTTTAAGCCTGTACCTATTGTTACCCTGGCTCAGAATTAGAAAAAAAACCAACTTCTTTATCAGTGCTTCAAGTGGGGTCACCCTCTCTCATTACATCGTCCGGGGGAACGAAGTCCCACATTCGAAAGTACCGAACGTTTTTAACATGACATCAAATATATCTCCCGAAGTAAATTTTCACAAGTTAAGTCTAATCGCCCAATTTATTTTTCAATGTGTACTGAGGCAATGGGACTTGGGAGAGTTGCGTTTTAGTGTGTGGTGCCGTGTCAGCTGCAGCGTGAAATGTGATACAGTACGTTTAATATGAGCTTTCTATTGTATTGATACTCATGACACAGTTTACTGTAGACTCCTGTTTTCAAACTAATAATGGTTTCGACTTTATTCCTCCTATCTGACAAAGTCATATACCAACAAAGGTGGTGTTGCTGGCACATTATCATTGATAACATATCAGATAGTTTTGGTGACCAACATGACATTTGGGATCGAGAGTTTCATAAAAATAGTTTCATTACAGTACCCATCAAAACAGTTTGATCGCGTTGGACATTTGTTACTGGTCTCAAATGCGTAGAGACAGTAGGTCCAGGCACTACCCATATGAATACTAGGCTTTTTGTTTTGTTTTGAATTCGTGTATTCTTTCTTTGAATGTTTTTCATCTGTAAGATTTGAAAGATATGAAAAGTATATTTACTCAGTTTTCGTACGTTTCCCCACCTGAAAAATCACAAAAGAGAAGTCTTGAAAAATGGGCCCACATTTCCGTCTACTTTGATGCCTGCCTACACGTTGTACTATACAGCAGTGGTGGTCTGATTAATCGCAGTGACTAAATGACCAAGCAATTGATCATGTTTTCTCATAATCGAACACAAACACTTGTTTGCATTAACGATATTTTTCACAAGGTTGGTTTTGTCTGTCATTAAATTTACATTTCATGAGCACTACAAGCTCGTTCCTAGTCATGATTGAATTTATCTTAAAGACTTCCAGAAATTTATGTTCCTAACATACTAGTCATGGTTTAAAGAAGTGAAATTTGCAAAAAAAACCAACAGAAACAACCACAACAGGAAAATTTGATAAATGACGCTAACCAAATATTTTTGAGGATTGATCGGTTGTAATAAATGAATCATCAATTATGAGATTTTAACCAATTCCCAACACTACTATACAGTCAACAGATTTTATTTAAAATGCTATTAATTTTATTCTGCTCATATTTTTAAAAATGTGGCCTTATTCACAAAATTCTCCACAGAGATACAAATAACACGGCCCACATTCCTGCTTTCATTTTGATGCTCATAGATATAAAACTATATAAGTAACCGCTTCATATGAATGAAATGGCCTACCATTCCTGTCACACACATCGGTTACTTATTTATCAGAGGACATTCTGTAATCCAGTAATTGGAGTAATGCTGCACTTCTAAAATGTAGCAACCCCCCTAAAGTCCAACTGACTATCTTAACAACATTATTCTGCATATTTAAAGTTAGCTCGAAGGGTTACCTGCGATAGTCAAAACACACTGTGAATGCAGACTAGATCTCTCTGAGTCAGTATTCTGGGTCGTAGGAATATTACCAGTTCGGGACACCCAAAATAATAACCATTTGTTCCCATAGAAATGTAGGCACTGAATTAACCCCGACCTCCTCTAAAAGGACAACTATTACTAGACACTACATGTACACAGTACTCTACACATTGGTAATGATTCAAAGACCTGACACGTTTAACATGTTCTGGCGATTTAGCATCCCTGTTTCTCCTTGGCAATGTGGGCTACTTCTAAGGCTTGTCAAGAGACCATTATTTCAAGACACATTACATACTCTAAATTTAAGGTAGGTATGCCTACTTCTGCTGTATGCAACGCCCAGGGTTGCCAGAACACATTCCCCACCATTATATTTCCTTCCATATAGAACATTTGAAGATCCAGGTCAGAATTGATCTTCATTGACCCATGCTTGTCGTAAGGGCGACTAACGGGATCGGGTGCTTGCTGACTTGGTTGACACATGTCATCGGTTCCCAGTTGAGTAGATCGATGCTCATGCTGTTGATCACTGGATTGTCTGGTCCAGACTCGATTATTTTTCAAACCACCGCCATATAGCTGGAATATTACTGAGTGCGGCGTAAAACAACAACCAAACCAAACGAAACCTTCGATATAGGAACAAACATGCTATGAATCACCCGCAAACGTTTCTCAGCACACATGTTCCTATTCTCCTTTCCTTTTGTCAGACAGTCTACATTGGCATACCAGCTACTTTGATCAGATGATTATTCAGTAGGAGTGCAAGGTTCAGTGAATTGTTCAATCCTTTCTGAATCTGATTAGGAGTTTATCCCTTAGATTTGTATCACTAGTGATATTCATAATACATGATTGACGTGTCTCTAATGGTTCTGTGAAACAGATTACTATCTCGGAACTGATGTTTTTACGTACACATTCTAGCATGGCTGAAACTGGAGGAAACGCACACACGTCTACGACATGGCTGTTCATGACACAAGTCCCACGTGGCCAAACAAACGAAATAATCTTATATGCAACCACTCGCCTGTAGGTCAGTCGCCAGTGCAACGTATGACTTGTTGAACCAGTTTGATAGTCTGTGACAAATTATTTTGCTGTGCCCATTCAACGCACAATTGATGAAACTGGTATATTGTTACTATTACATATGTATGTACTAAGTGAATGAATATAGATCTCCACACCACACTCAATGTTATTAAATGCACATGTATTCATGTATAGTTCAGGCGTTAACGCAACTCAGGTTATAATGGCAAAATTGTAATGGACAAATGTAGGCGATGTAGCCTGGATAGCCGGTATATACATTCTGCAGATGGCTAACTGGCTTTTCCATATGAGATGCCGAGAATAGTTGAACCATGATGTCAATAGCGGAATAGCATACTGGATTCGCCTTAAGGTTTGGTACCCTCATAAAGCAACAGAACACTTAGTTAACACACACATAAAAGTGAAAAAGTATATTGGAAAGGATATAGTGATGATGTCATACGAAACAGAAGATTACTTTCCAATATTTCAGAGGATTAATTGATGGTTGCCTCTTTCTTGCAGTGGACAAATGTACACCAAGTGTAACACTAGTGACCTAATTATTATTCCTTGGTCACAGAAATGCCGACATCAGTGTTTGTTTGTATGTTTCTACAGGAGGTTTTACGGAGTGGACTCAATGGACAACACCCCCTTGTGACGTAACGTGTGGACAAAATGTACTTAAACCAGTCTACAGAAACAGGGGGTGTAGATTTACGCCGTCCAATTGTACAGGGGCGTTCCTTCAGAGCAAGCAAATACCCTGTAGTATCCCAAACTGTCCAGGTAAAATATTTATTACAAGGTGAAATTGCTGGTACGATAACATTGATCACAGCGAAGTTCTGAATATTGTCATTCTCCTGTATGCATGAGCTAGTTTGGATACCTCAGACTTGAAGACCATATATTGATGAGCACGTAGAAGATTCTCCATTCGGCATCTGTTTAAGATACCGCAACTGTAAGCTGTTTTCAAGACTGCCAGAAAATATAAATTAATCTTCCTGTTCATATCTAATGAATGCTAATCTAAACTCAGCAAAATATACCTGCTCGAGATAACATTTAAAACATTTACCTGCGGAAAGATATTCAACATATCATTAAATTAAGAATTATGTATTTACCCATGGTGTTGCAGATTTAAAAAGGTAATCCTTCGAAATGAAAGCTTGAAAGTCATGCTTTAACTTCAGCCAGAGAATTTATTTTGTCAGGGCGAGACTAAACACATAATCCAAAGTCTAATATTCTGGCCGTATTATTTCATGGGATTTCACCTACCATGAAGCGAAAACGTTGATTTTGATACATTTGTAACAGTCTTCAAATAGAGCGATTAGATTAGCGATGGATGATAGCGTTTCTGGAATACATAGATCGCTGCTGTTCATAATGTTAATTCCTGGATAGTGTGGTCCAGAGTCGACCTTTTATGCGGGTATGTAGATTGAATGTCAGTGAGAGGTAAACAGAAGAAAGAAAGAAAACACAATATGGCAATATAGTTTCTTGTGCGTGCAATCGTCTATTGTATTTCTATCCCTCACAGTTGACGGGGGATACTCAGAGTGGTCTCAGTGGGTTAGTCAAACATGTTCAGCTACGTGTCAAGGCACGCAGCAAGTCACGAGGACCAGACTCTGCAATGATCCAGTCCCCCAGTTTAATGGAAGGACATGCCAAGGACCATCAGTAGACACTGAACAAAGATCCTGTGGGGACGAGAAATGCCCAGGTATGTAACGATCCTCACATTTTCCATCTTTGGTGGCGTCGTACCTGTCTGACCGACATCAATCTGTTGTCGTTGGTATTGAGAGATCGAAAGGCGCTGTAATCACACGTGGTTTGCCACAGGGATCAGTCCTTGGTCCGATCCTGCTTGTGTTGTATACTGGATATGTCGGAAGGATTCCTACAGACCACACAGCTTCTCAATATGTCCATGCTGAAGATACCCTGCTCCTGAAAGCGTTTCATCTGTCTGATCTCCCCAAGTCTCTTCAATGCATTGCCGAATGTACGCAGGACATCAAGTGCTGGATGACAGCAAATATGCTTAAACGTAATGACACAAAAAACAGGAGCACTTCTCATTAGTACAAAGCAACCAAGCAGGGTCAAAACCGACTTCCTTACAGTTGCAGACGCAGACATCAATTTCTCTGACGTTGTTAAGGAGTTGGGTGTCTGCACAACACACAAATTGTACTGGTCATCCCATCCTACAAACTGATATCATTTCGATGCAGATTGTTCTCTTACTCTGCTTTGGAACTCTCTCCCTTGTGCCATTAAAAGCTCTGACACAGTGGACGTTTTTAAGTCCAGACTTAAAACCCACCTTTTCTCAGCATATTACTTATAATTTCAACTGCAAATATTCCAGTGTAAATATTCTGTAGCGCTTTGAACATGCCTTAGGGTGTGGAATAGGCGCAGTATATGTATTCATTTATTATTTATTATTATCTTACATGCAAAATCTGCGAAAGATCCGGGTTCGGATTTATCTTCAGAAACGTAAGAGCCGTGTATACTTGTAAGGGGCTACAGGCGGGATCAGATGCGCAGTGCAATGCTCATGTTGTCCGTCACTGGATTGCTTGTTCCGTCATATGGCTGGAAAATGTTCCCGAGATCTTCATGAAACATCAATCAGAAACAACTCTTACATGCAAGTAGAATGGAATACACTGGATTCAAAACGATCTATGCTTCGGTAGATGTTATGAAACTAAAGAAAAACTTCAAGCTTTTTGCTTTAAATGTACGCGGTTAATAATCTTGTTTTATGATTTGAGCCACATTGCTGGATTACATACTGCAGTGAATAAACACTGACAAGGTATAGCTTCAGTAGCCTGTACTGTTTGATACATGAACAATGATGTTGACAAATCTGAATGTTGGCTTTAACCTCAGGTCAAGATTTGGTGTCTCAGTGGTCAGACTGGAGCAGTCCACAGTGTCAAGTTACATGTGGAGGAGCTAGTGGAATAGTCACAAGGGCCAGAACATGCGTAAGGCCAGACAACGCCACCAACGGCTGTACAGCAAGTCTGACAGAGAGTGAAATGAGGGCTTGTGGGCCAAGTAATTGTCCAGGTAGCGTTTTTTATAATATTTTACGGGTGTGACTGATGACAATTGTACTTGGCAACAGGATTGTTTAAGAATACACATCATCAATCTTTCTACCCGTAGGACGGAATGTTTGTACCCTCTTCTTGTTCACCCTCAGATATTACTGGATAGAACTGATCCCCAGCAAGGTATCATAGTCTTAATGCTTGCCTAAGTCGACATTTTAGACAGCAGACAGATATCATTTAAGACTGTCCCTTTTAAACCATTGTACAAATTTAATGTGCATAGAAATGGGCTTCACACAATGTACCTGTGTGGAGGAATCGAACTTGGGTGTCCCGCTTAGCGAGCGAACAATTTATCTACTATCCTACCCCATCACAACAAAGATGGTACATAGATACATTATGGTTTGAAAACATTGATGGACAAAACTAATATATCAAAGGAAAGCATAAATAGTGACAGCACATTAATCACAACTTTGTCGTTTACCTGAAAGTGTTTGCAAAAAATATACTCAAGCAAACCCATAGGCAAAACCGAAACAATATGAACACAATTGGGTTGTTGCTTGCTGTGGAAGCAGAGAGTTTTTTAGTATATTAAAACATGGATGTGATATCTTCTATGAACAGTTCACGGTGGTGTCAGTGTATGGTACAACTGGAGTATCTATGGTCCCTGTTCTCCGTCGTGTGGCGCAAACGTAACAAGACAAAGAACAAGAACAAGAACTAGAACCTGCACCAATCCCGTTCCAGCATATGGTGGAAGGTTCTGTTCCCAACCTTTAGTTGACACAGACACAATAGTCTGTGATCCCGTGCCCTGTCAAGGTAAGATGGAAGACCTTGCAGACATTTTATGATAAACATTCAGAATCACAACACATGACACGTCGCTTGTCAGCATGAAGGGAATATGCTGTCCCTTCTATGACATTTACATGGAGATTTCACAGCACCTTACTCATTGATAGTCACTTGCTCACTGAGATTGTGTGTGTGGTGGTAAAGCAGGCCATGCATTTTACGAACATCCGCTGTCATCAGAAAATTTCAGTGACTTATTCAAATCATTTTCACGCTCATTTACATCCTGTCTTTTGCACTATCATTTGAAATTTTTGTTGTTGCTCTTGGACATTTCCATTGAATCACGAATATGTTTATGCTGCGTATTAGATTAATAAATGTTGTTTGATTCCGTCGCGATCTGCATCAACTGCATCAAGTAGCACATTGAGGATGATTCTGTTATCCATAACAAAGTGAATGACAGCGTTTGACAGTATTATAGCTATGAGCTATTATGAAGTCATGTTGCGTATTCCTTTGAAAACACTGAAAGCTGATTCTCACAAAGGTAAACACTTTGATGGGTTTTATATCTTTGCAATCCATATGGCAGATATTGTGTCTTTCTGGACGTCGTGGGAAGTTCCGACGTGTCAAGTGCAAGCAACATGTGGTGTGTTGGCCGTGGTAACAATCTCCAGATCGAGAAGCTGTGATGCACCAGCTAACGGGGTGTCCTGCTCTGTTTCCCTCACAGAGACAAGAGCCTTCCGCTGTGGAGCTGAACAATGTCCTGGTACTGTTGTTTTCTTAATAGCAATCCTGTGTTTGAAATTATGCCTAATATTTGTATATAATGATCAGTTTCTGTTTAGTTTGGTGTGTTTGTTGGTTTGTTATTGAACATCACTCAGCATTATGTCAGACATATTAACTGCAAATATCTGGGACAGAAGGATCAGTGCTTGACATCAAGAGAACAAGTCAGTGTACCTGGGATACTATTACATCAACCAAGTCATCTGATCCCGTTAGTTGCCTGTTACTAGTATGGGAGGCTTAAGACAAATTCGAAGCTGATAAGTTGCGGGTGTATCTGACACGCATCTTCACTTGATGATTAATTTCAGGAACATGGTGAAATTTTACATCAACCATTTTGGACCCTGTATTTTGGAACGATACCTGATAGAGACAGCTGATGCTGAAAATGTACTTTCGAATGGGGTATTTCAGGAAAGTATATGGTGTGTTTGTCTCATTTCAGCAATTAACGGCGGGATGTCGGTGTGGTCGGTATGGGGGGAAGGTCCCTGTTCGGCTACCTGTGGGACAGCAGACCGGAATGTAATCAGAAACAGAACCTGTACAAATCCAACTCCCCAATATGGTGGCGACGACTGCCGCGAACCACGTTCTGAATCTGTGACGAGAACCTGTACTGGTTTGCCAAGCTGTCCAAGTAATTATTGGGGAATCAGAGACGAGCAAATGCCAGTACCAATTGCATGTCGTACATCTGTATATTGAGGATAAGCTAGTAGTGATGACCTGGTTGTGTCGTTGTAAAACGAATGCAATGATCGTTGCTTTTGTAAACATAGCTTCCGTTCTGTAGTCCTACGACCACTTGAAACCTGTTTTGTAACACAGACTTACGGTGGGTCTTAACGCTTTCTGAAACATACACCAGAAGCCTGATCCACAAAACGTTCGTAGCACTACGACATTCGTAAGTCTTTGATAAACTGTAGAAATACGACAGGTCGTAAGGTTACGAATGCGTTGTGGATCGGTACCCAGAATAACTAAGCTAACAACCAAGAGTTGACATGAAACTTGAAACGATCATTACTTTGCCAATTTAAGTGTGCTTCTTTTGAAGCATCACAACTAAAGCATAGCGAAAGAGGAAGTTTCTCTTTTCACTTCAACCAACCTTCAGTGGTAAATATATAATTATAACGCAAGAGAAGGAATATTACTTTCTTATTATCAGCGTAAAAATCTGTGCGTTCCACGTTATATGGCGGTTAGGAAAAACGTTTATGTAATATGTCACCCGGCAACTGATTATATAAACTTTTTACAGCGTGGTCAACATTAACTGGAGGCATCCTGGTCGGTGTGGTTATACTCCTGGGGATTCTGCTCATATTTATCATAGTTGGAATTTTGTGGTGCGTGTGTTGCCGCAAGGATGAGTAAGTGAAATTTCTTAATTATTATTTACACATTTTTTCACGTCTAACAAACTAGGCAACCATCTCCCCATTTATGTAGTGGGTACAGTGTGTGAAGCCCATTTCTGATGTCCCCCGCCGTGAATTTTGCAACGAGCGGCATAAATCTAAACTCACTCACTAACTCACACCCATTCATGTCGGATTTTCATTACATTCGAGTGCGACATTTTTAGATCTTGTTCGAGGGACTGAGTGAGTTTAAGTTTACGCCGCACTCAGAAATATTCCAACCAAGTGGCGGCGGTCTGTAAATAATCGAGTCTTGACCAGACGATCCAGTGATCAACAGCTTGAACATCGCCCTGCGCAATTGGGAACCGATGACATGTGTCAACCAAGCCACCGAGCCTGACCAAACGATCCCATTAGTCACCTCTTACGACAAGGTTACATGGGTTACTGAAGGTTCATTCTAACCCGGACCTTCACGGGTCAGATCTTGCTCGAAATATCGTTTATTTTTAAGACGATGTTACTTTCGGCACAGTCAATAGCCCAATGTTGATGAAGATGTTCACATTTAAACATATGCTTATGACACAGTCGTATGTGTAATGGGCTCTGATAGTATCTGCGAATACGACAAAAGGTTTGCCACGTGTATTTATAATAATTATGATTATGTTTTGCACAGGGTCCGTTACAAGGAAGAAAACATCCGCCAGAGTGAGTTCCACCAGTACCACAATGTCAAATCTGGCTTTCTGAAACCACCGTATTACAATCTCGAGAAATAGACACTTTATTGGCCTCATGTGTAGTTGACCTGGTACTCTGCTCTAACGGAACAAGGTTCAAGCAGTATGACTGATATAGAAGTGAATCTTGTCAACTGTCTCTGTGATATTTGTCTGTTTCGAGAATCTGTCATCGCTTATTTAGCAAACTGTTACGCCATTATGGTTTGCCAATTTATGTTTTATCTGAAACTTGGACAAAATAAATGAATTCCGGAATATCGTCTGATATTGTATATATACGAGCTTCGTCTTCTTTTGTACATTTTATATCTAATTTATTGAACTACCACGTGTAGTCTATATGTGCCAAGTATTTCGGAAACTTAACACGGTTCTTCTCGTTGGTGGGGATTACTTAAAGCAAGATAGTTCCGTCTAAATATGATACGAAATACTGATACAGTTTCGTTGAAGAAGAAATGATAATCATTTGTAGATGTTTCACGCAAATTGTTAGAATAACCTTTACCATGTATATATTTAGATACATATATGCCTGGACCTACCGAGTTACTCATTATTACTATTAAAATGTATAATCCAATTATTATTAGTATCATTATTTATAATCTAATTTGGTAACAATAATAACAAACAATATGATTTCAAATTCATATAGATTATGTTTGACTTCATGGATAGGTGATATAGAGATGGAGTAAGAAATGATACTGATATGGAAGTGAACCTTGTCAATATCCTCTGTTATGCTTTCCCTGCTGGTTCCGGGATCCGTATATTAGAGAATTGTTATGTCATGTATCTGATGTTTGGTAAACGAAAACCAAGCGGATTCCAAAGAAACTATTTGTGTCATCGAAAAGTAACAGTGCGTACTACAGATCAAGAAATTAGTTCATGAAAACGTTAAATGGGTCTTTATTAAGATATTTATTTTCGATGTTTATTTTCTATATTTTGGACATTGTAAGGTTTCCTCGTTAGTCCTACCAAAGAAAACGATGAGTATGTCTATTATGTTATACATTGTTTTTTTGCCGTCAATAAACTCTGTCTCAATGTCTTCAGTTTTTCAATGTATGTGGAACCTTCTCCGAGTTCCGGCGTGTAAGAGGGCACGGTCAGCCCAGTCGTCAAAGAGTTATGTCCCCTGTGCATGGTAAACACTATTAAATCGTTCTTCACCACGAGTATGTTTCTTGGTTTTATATTACCGTGTCCGTACTCACCAGACCGTTTTCGGCAAAGTGTTAATCATGTGTGACTTGCGTCACTGCATGCTGGTTCCCTACAACATCACATACACAGATGCTATGTTGGGATTTCATGCTCTGTTAAGTGAGACTTAAGTACTTTTGTAAGGGATTCGGACCTACATTCTCAGCCCAGCACTTAATCGCACAGCACACAAACTCAGCAATTTAACCAGTTCAGCAACCGCGGCTTTAAAAAACCCCACAACAACCGAAAGCTATAAACAGCCAATCTCACAGCACTCCTACAGGAGTACCTAGGTTACTGCTATCATCAACTCTGGACTCATTTGCCAGAAACTCTTCTACTAATATTTGATAAAATCTAACATCCAGAAACTTTCCCCCCATAATGGCAACAGTTGTTCGAATACCAAACCCTGAACGTGATAATGCTGATCCATCAAATTATATCTAATTTCATTAACCACCAGCCTTTGCAAATTCGTGAAACGCAGGTCAACAATACATTGACATTGTTGGTACTTGACATTGTTCACGCCCATGGATCTGCCATGGCATCTTCAGTACACGTGTAACCACAGGGACGTCATCCCGTCTATAGATGAACTCTCATTGTGTGATTGTACTTAATGAACTCATTGCTTATTAGATAATGAAACTGCTACAAGCGTCTTAAAATCTCATTCCGACTCATTATAAGGGACTCACTGTTTGTTAATTGGACAGTATATGTATGTGTGCGTTCGTGTGCGTATGTTTTGAAGTGGTCTCAAAACCAAACATGGCATTTGATCATCTTTTGACCAAACAAATGCACAAATCTACCATAAGGAATCACTCAAAGACACACTCTCTGTAAAACATCTTACTCACAGTACCCAACTTCTTTGAGTGGCATTTAGATGTTGGTGTGATTAACAACGAGGAGTGAGTAAGTTTAGTTTTACAATATTCCAGCTATATGGCGGCGGTCTGTAAATAATCGAGTCTGGAGCAGACAATCCAGTGATCAACAGCATGAACATCGATCTGTGCAACTGGGAACCGATGACATGTGTCAACCAAGTCAGCGAGCCTGACCACCCGATCCCGTTAGTCGCCTCTTACGACAAGCATGGGTTACTGAAGATCAATATTCTAACCAGGACCTTCACGGGTAGAACAACGAGGAGTGTTCTATGGATATACAACTTCTTTGATATTAATATGAGCGACGTTTCGGTGTAGCAATTAACACCGTTTTCAAGCAAATGATGTACAACACTGCAAGCAAGGCTATATATACATAGTAAAGTTTGAACTTTAAGTTAATTGCTATAAGTCTATAGTGAATAATTGAGCATACTCTCAGGTTACCATAAAACATAATAAAACATTCGCCAGACTTGACTTTCAAACATTTCCTCTAATTGTTAATTACAATCTGCTGCTTATCACAACACATCATGCCTATTTACAACAAGTTACTCATTTCTTGGTGTGAGTAACTCAAGTAGCTAGATAACGTTGAAAGGACCTGCTCCCAATCCGTCGCATATTACAGATATGGCAAATTATACAAGTAGGAATAATCCGTTGTATTGACGTTGTATCCAAGGCATAATTTATACATTTGTTTGCATTTTGTGGAACGTGTTTGTAAAGATCATAACACTGTTCTGGCAGTCGGCTTTACATGACGTACAATGTAGTGTCGGAGTGCTATTGTGTAGATCCCAAGACTTGGATAATGTATACCATAGACGTTGACCGCACGAAATTTATTCGCTTGAACCAGTTTCAAACCTTTTAAAGCAGGTAATCGATCGTCATTGAAGTATATATTTTGATCAATACGCCCCACAACAAATAGAGTGACAAATTGTAAGGAATATCATTTAACAAAACGTCTTTCAGTATGTTCCTCGCGTACAGGCTGACCTTGTGTCTACACATCTTATTCTGTATTTCTGTGTGCACAAAACATACAAATATAACTGACAATGATATCGTTTACTTGAGACCAGTGCAAGGAAACAGTGGAAGGTTTGTATCTGTAACCCTACCTCATGAAGCATACAGACTGCCAGGTATTTAATGGGAATATTTCTTAAGTTACTGACAACGGCTGTGTATCCAGTGAGTGAGTTTAGTTTTACGCCGCACTCAGCAGTATTGCAGCTATATCTCGGCAGTCTGTAAATAATCGAGTCTGGACCAGACAATCCAATGATCAACAGCATGAGAATCGATCTACGCAATTGGGATACGATGACATGTGTTAGCCAAGTCAACGAACCTGACCACCCGATCTCGTTACGACAAGCATGGGTTACTGAAAGTCAGTTCAAAGAAAGATGTAGTTATATAATGATATCTACCTTGGGAGATGAAGACATTGCATTGGGAAGCAATGGGTTTGAGACAGGAATAGAATATCCCATAAATCCTATAATGAAATACAGGCATACACTTGTGCTACAATCAATATAGATACAACTGAACAGTTCAAATGAAAAAGCTAACTCAAATTCCCTAACAACTACACATGGAATATAAGTATCGTATCACCCCATATTTTTGATAGAATCATTGTGGTACCATTAACCAGAGTTAAGGAATTCATCCAACCCCCAATTTAACTTACTATCTGGATATCTTGCTCCTCGAGTGATAATTAAATGGCAAGTCTAAACACAGAAAGTTCTTGAAAGGCCTTTAGAAGTTGGACGAGCATGAATACAAGACATGTTTTTATGGATAACAACCTCTGTATACTTTTACACGACGTTTCAGAGCTAATTCTTGCTCTTTCATCGAGAGTAACTATTTGGGGTTTGTTAGGGCGTCCTAATTTGGTTTCGAATTCTAAGGTAGTCATGTCAGCAAGGTAATCTTTATACTGACATAACATAATTTACCATAAAGCCCTATTTTCGGAATCAGAGTTGATGGAAAGCTTAACAAATGATAAGTAATTCAATTTAATGGCCATTCATTTTTTATAAAAACTAAACTTAAAATTTTACTTTGGTGACTACGTAAATTTTTGCAATAAAACTTTCACACGTAGATTTAGGTTTAAGAGGTCAGCATTTCATCCCTTACATGACACTGCAGTGTGGTCTGTCCTTAACTACGGCGCGTATGTGTGGGTTACCCTATATATATGTGGTTAATACAGCTCACCACCGGCGTATCTGGATTTGATGTTGGCGGGAGGAGCACCTGGTCTAGCTGTTATTGGAGATAAAGGGTGGATGGTGTTTGTCAGTGGATATGTTTAGTTAGACAGTGGTGTCGTGAGGAGCACCTGGTTGAGCTGTTATTGGAGATAAAGGGTTGATGGTGTTTGTCAGTGGATATGTTTAGTTAGACAGTGGTGTCGTGAGGAGCACCTGGTCTAGCTGTTATTGGAGATAAAGGGTTGATGGTGTTTGTCAGTGGAAATGTTTAGTTAGACAGTGGTGTCGTGAGGAGCACCTGGTTTAGCTGTTATTGGAGATAAAGGGTTGATGGTGTTTGTCAGTGGATATGTTTAGTTAGACAGTGTTGTCGTGAGGAGCACCTGGTCTAGCTGTTATTGGAGATAAAGGGAGGATGGTGTTTGTCAGTGGATATGTTTAGTTAGACAGTGGTGTCGTGAGGAGCACCTGGTTTAGCTGTTATTGGAGATAAAGGGTTGATGGTGTTTGTCAGTGGAAATGTTTAGTTAGACAGTGGTGTCGTGAGGAGCACCTGGTTTAGCTGTTATTGGAGATAAAGGGTTGATGGTGTTTGTCAGTGGATATGTTTAGTTAGACAGTGGTGTCGTGAGGAGCACCTGGTCTAGCTGTTATTGGAGATAAAGGGTGGATGGTGTTTGTCAGTGGATATGTTTAGTTAGACAGTGGTGTCGTGAGGAGCACCTGGTTTAGCTGTTATTGGAGATAAAGGGTTGATGGTGTTTGTCAGTGGATATGTTTAGTTAGACAGTGGTGTCGTGAGGAGCACCTGGTTTAGCTGTTATTGGAGATAAAGGGTTGATGGTGTTTGTCAGTGGATATGTTTAGTTAGACAGTGGTGTCGTGAGGAGCACCTGGTCTAGCTGTTATTGGAGATAAAGGGTTGATGGTGTTTGTCAGTGGATATATTTAGTTAGACAGTGTTGTCGTGAGGGCACCTGGTCTAGCTGTTATTGGAGATAAAGGGTTGATGGTGTTTGTCAGTGGATATGTTTAGTTAGACAGTGTTGTCGTGAGGAGCACCTGGTCTAGCTGTTATTGGAGATAAAGGGTGGATGGTGTTTGTCAGTGGATATGTTTAGTTAGACAGTGTTGTCGTGAGGAGCACCTGGTCTAGCTGTTATTGGAGATAAAGGGTAGATGGTGTTTTTCAGTGGATATGTTTAGTTAGACAGTGGTGTCGTGAGGAGCACCTGGTCTAGCTGTTATTGGAGATAAAGGGTTGATGGTGTTTGTCAGTGGAAATGTTTAGACAGTGGTGTCGTGAGGAGCACCTGGTTTAGCTGTTATTGGAGATAAAGGGTTGATGGTGTTTGTCAGTGGATATGTTTAGTTAGACAGTGGTGTCGTTTAAGAAATATTTAATTTAACAAGTGTGTATGTGTTGCATATCCGAATATTTGGAACACTCTTTTTCACACAATTAGCCGACTTGCGACATTTATTCAACACCAAAGAACTAAATACAGAAAATGTTTCTAGAGCAAAATAAAGAAGAAAAAACTGAACCTGGCAAGTGTTTGTACAGATAAACAAATTCTGAATCTAGGTTAAAAAGTGAAACATTTGTCTGTCATCACCGCATGTTGTGGGGTCGACATTGAAGCTTGACATTCCTGAACAGTTGTACAAAGAAAAGGATCAATTTGAAAGCATGTCATCTAGTTGGTGCGTGAGAAGAAAATTAGCAAAC